TACGAGGATTGAGACGCTGAAAAGCGTCGGACACGGCTCGATTCAGACGCTTGGACATACGGTGGCGAGATGGTGAATTGGAGAATGAAGAAATGTCACAACGGGCACCAGTACCGTGGCTTCCATTGCGACGGGGGCAGTTGTGGTGTAGTGATTTCTCCGTGGTTGCGGATCATCACCCTTCGTCATAGACGCGGCACCGCCCAAGATGTTCAAGCGACGAGATTTCGTTCACGTGATGTGCCGTGACTCCAAAGTGCAAGAGACTCGACGGCGTCACTACCGAATACTCAGCGAATGTTGGATACGGTCCAGATGTCACTGAATCCAGGCTGTCCTTATTATTAATAATGGACTGGCCGGATTCGCATTCAGCGGACCATCTACGGTACGAACCCTCAGTGGCGGTTGGGATGAGCTCGTGGAAGACCTCGCAACCCTTTGAAGGCACGTTCACCGTCTGGGACAGGGCGCGGACCGTTAAAGATGCTCATGCGACGGTGCAGACGACGCTTGGCATGCAAGAAGATCCATAACGGATCATTGTTCACTTGATATTTGTATACTTGATTAGGACTTCTTATTAGGAATAGACCCGAAAGGGTAAGCTTAAATACAGAACAGAATTTCCACTCAAGCACACAGAGCGACGTCCGGCTTCAAGGTAAGCGTCAGGTCAAGCTTGTTTGAGTGTGTTATGCCTGTCGGTGAACTCGAAGCTCTGTAGCGAGGGTTCATCCGGCAAGGCCAAGAGACTTTGTGTATTGGCCGATTATTATCGGGAGGTTTTACGTGACGGCTTATTGTTGCCTATTTGCACGACTGGAAGTGCTTGAATTGCCTCCCTTTTATTTCTTCCAGCCGAGTGTTGAACACTCGGTGATCTCGTAAAAGGCTTACCCGTGCCTGGTACCCTTCCGCTGTTGGGACCACGAGGATTCAAAACACCTGCTAGCTTTGCTCGTGCTAGTAGCGTGTTCTTATTTTACTGGTTGGCCTATATAAATAGTTTACAAGGTCCAGTTTGTCCCGGTGCAAGGGCAGAACTGGGGTCTTCAGGTCCGCCCGAACGATCGTTTACTATCCTAGTAGACGTATTGTTGTGGGAACATCCTAACTACATCTGTAGCTAGAGTTCACGTGGGATTTCCAACAACACCGCAGTTTCTCCCAGGCCGCCTTGTTTGTGGAAGTGTTATCAGTAACGACAGCACCGACCTCAAGAAATTTGTACTTGCCAACTACGCGCTTGATATCCATTGCAAGGAACTGTGCGTCGTGAGACTCGCATCCTGTATACACTGACTCCAGGAAAAATGTCTTATTGCCGGCTACAGCAACATAGTTGATCACCGATAGACCATTTATATCGGTCCACGCATCGGTCAAAATTGTGACGACAACTTCATCAAGTTAAACTTGCATCACTGCAATTGACTTATCATAGGCTCGGTCCAAAAACGACGTCGACAGCTGAAACCCACTCGGTAACTGGACGCTCGGATTGAGCAGTTTTAAGGCCTTCAAGAGCGACTCGTGCTCTACCTTGTAGAGCGACATGCCTGTCGTAAAGACCCACTGCGCAAAGCTCTCCTGGAACTCCTTCAATGCACTTGGCTGCAGCGGATGGCTTGAACATCTCAGTAATCTTAGACTGGGTTGGCAGCTTCGAGCACTTCTCATAAACGTGACGTCTCACACGAGCGATGTGGTTGTGTCCTTGCGTGTAAATAAGCTGTCCGCAACGTAGACACCACACGGTGTTGTCTTGGTCAACTTCGACCAGTCGCCAAGCTTCATCTTTCTGGCGTCCTCCGTGGTGGGGGCGTTGGTTGTTTACACGCGATGCACGGGAAGTGACGGCTTGCTGGGATTCTTCGGCAGACGAGACGGATGGCATCCGATTAGCTGATCCTGATCCAGTAGGATGGAAGGACGTCTCCGTGATAGGGGCGGAAGTAGTCATGGCGAGGTGTTTCTCGTGGTGCAAAAGACAAAGTGAGAAAAGTCCTGCCACCGATGTCGCTGCAAGAATGATGCGGTGGCCATCCATTTTAAGAAAGCAACTCGGAGAGGATGACTGGAGGAGGTCTGCTGTCGCGCTATTGAATTGCGAATTGAATTGCTCTTCCTGTGTATTAAACACAATTTCCTAATAGTGACTAGACACTGTTTTTATAAGTGAATAGGGCTGCAAAAACCCATTATCCAACCACCCCAGCAATCTCTTCGACCCACCCAATATCTTTAGAAAACCCGGGTTTTCCATAACACTGCCGTTGCTGGCCAACAGGTAATATTAAGGGAAATCCTCAATTTAGGGCCGCCCTGAAAGAAAGTCGCATAGCTCGGCAACTATTTGCACAGGGACACAAAGCGAGACAGTTTCCGAAAGCTTGTAATCTGAATTTTTTATCGTATTTTTTGCGACCAATGACTAATAGCATTGATCGTTCAGGACACGGCAGCAGAAATTTTTGTCGTATCAGTTCAGGGCCGCATTTAACCTTAACTTCAGTATTAAAATGTTCAGCTGGTGAAAAAATTCAAGCCCATTCAAGCATAGGGTTAGATCACCCTTTCTTTTTATGTTAATGCGTCTTGATAAAATTATGGAGGATACATAAGTATGCAAGAATAATCAAACGTCTGTCATTACCAAAACAAAATCAGAAACGTCAAGTGCTGACAGCTCAGTCGTTTAGACGGCTAGCTTATTGAGGGCCCATTATAGGAGCAGGGTTGTCGCGGGTTCGAGTCTACTCGTTGCCGCTAATTCTCCGCACTGAAAAGGTAAGCTATCAATTCTGAAACATTGTGTAAAGATCTAGCTAACATTTTTGTTGCTTAGCTAAACTACGACGAAATTGACAATATGTTGGGCTGCGCTCGTCTCTTGATGGACTCCATCGCCTTTGCCTTCAGTGGCGACTGCAGATTTCCTGCGAGACTTAGTACGTGTTCTGCTGCTTCTGTAGAAAGCTCCTGGAGAATTTCCTGCGTAAGTAGCCTTCCACCCACTGTAACTCTTTTTCGTTTTGAAGACTTCTTTTGCTTTGCCCGCAATTGAAGCACCTCTTTTTCAACGGTTGGCTTCACGTGAAGCCATGCTGCCAGGCGAGAGTGTCGAGGAGCTCCATTTCTGTCATAAAGACCAAAGCGCTCGTGCATACACACCAGTGAGAGCGGAAAAATTCCGCAAGCATTAAATCCAGCCTTGAGATTTCTGCCAATTTTGCTGGTGGCCCAAGCCATATTTGCAAGCTTTATTGCGTTGGGTTTGTCAATCGAATAACAGCCCTCATCGTCCTCGTCAACAACCTCCTTTATCAGATTGCAGAGTTTCACTTTTAGTGTCGCAAAAACTGCAGCGTCCAGAGGCTGCAATAGGTGGGTGGCGTTGGGCGGAAGCAATACTAATAGTATCTCGAGAACGCGTAGCTGTTTCAAGGACATCACCAGAGTAGTGAGAACTGCATCCATCAAGCACCAGCAACAGCGGCCTTTTGACAGTTCTGGGTACCGAGCTGTCAAATAAATGTAGCCATCGTTCAAATAGATACGTGTTGATGAACCCTGATGGGGAAATCGTAATTGCTGCGCTTGAAACACTACACTCATCAATAACATCCCATTCCACAGTTTTTCCAGGTAAAATATAGGCTGGTGGTACGACAAAGCCAGCAGCACTTCCACAAGCAACGATAGACAAATGAAAATTGACAGACGGATCCAAGCACCACACGTTCGTCGAACCTCGGACAGCGATCACCTTCTTGCTCTTCTTGCGTGTTTGAAACGCAGTTTCGTCCATATTAAATATTCTGGAGCTGTCAAGTCGTAATTCAACCACTAGTTTAGCCAACGTGTTAAATAGCGTACGCAAGTTGCCTGCAGAGACACAGTTACGTTTTTCAGTTAGCGCTTGAGCAACCCGTGGGGTCAATTCTAGATTGCGTCCCATGAAGCGCTGATACCACCCAGCCCCGACGCTCTGGTCTGTAATGAGCAGCGAAATCTCTTGGGCCTTTTTTAGGATGACAGCTCGGTCCACGGGATACCCGACAATCTGTCGCCCAACAACCCACTCGAACAAATGGCGCTCTGCCTCTGGAGGCAGGTGCGGTTTTGGTCCGCGGCGACGGGGCTCTAGTGATTGTTCCAACTTCGATTTAGTAACCCACTTGCGAATTGTCCTCTCAAGTATCTTGGTTTGCGCCGCGACCTCGGGAACCGCCGCACCGCTGAGTATTTTTGCCACAATGGCAGTCTTGGTTTCAGTAGAGTAAGTGTGGCGAGTCTTAGACATGGCTTGGGTCGGACAAATAAAAAGTGAAGCGTTTGTTTTCTTCTTGCAAATGTTTGAACGGAGTGGATGGCGCTCAACAACCTCACTTGGTTGGAGGAGCTGAACAAAAATATGGCGCCAAGAGTTCACCCCTTTTGCATATTAAAATTTTAAAGGTATTCGTACTTAGCTTATTATAAACAATAGCTTCCAAGTTCAATGGAGTACTGTATATGATTGGCAGTAAATTATGCGGCCCTACTGGTTCGCGGCCCTAAATTGATGATTTCCCTTATTGTGCGTTCTATTCGAAATTTCCGCGGGCGTCTGAGAGACACGACCAGCACCCAGTCGTGTAGCCTATCATACAGAATGCGTTTTGGCGCTAATACAGAATAATCCTCTGACTCGCCATCTTCATTCATGACAAGTGCGCGGAGTCTTCAGTGCGAGATGCGCTGTCACTTTAACTTCAACGTGTATCTGGTATCTTATTGGATAATAAAAAATGTTTTCTTAATTTTGACCTCTAACAAGGCAGCGTCGATTTGCCGTTCGCTTCGCGCCTTTCTCCGAATCGTCCCGCTTCGGCAAATTGGGGCGGAATTGACAATACAGTAATAATAAAGAAGAAGACCCTCATTTCCGGATAATTTGAGCTACCGGATACAGGATCAGAGTGATGGTCCGACGTTCCACTTCAACATCCGCAATGGGACGCCAGGTGGTGATTCCGCAACGGAGTGCGCGCGCCGAAGACAACGCCACTGATGACAGGAAGGACAGCTCATACTGGAGTGGCGTGCTCGTGATCCCGTCCCGAAGCCGCCAGGTCAGTCGCCTGTGGCTGGAGAAGGCGCTGGTGCTAACCGACGGTGTGCAGCTCTTCGCGCTCATGTGGCAGTTGTCGCAACCATGGCCATGGCCTGCTCGTTGGCTGGAAGCCACGCGCTGGACCAACGCATTCACTCTGGACTTATTCAGCTTTCGAGCCACAGGCGCAGCCATGGGCTCCACGTCGCAGTCGTTTTCATTGTGGGGAGAGATGCCTCGTTATTGGCTCTACGCCCTCGTGTGGGCGCTTGTGCCGTGGACTGGAGTGTTGATGCTTCAAATAGCTAAGGGAATCTGGACCAAACAGGGACGTAGTGACTTTCTGTTACTCGGTGTGACCTGGGAGAATGTGCTACTTCAGATACTACAGTTCTTGTATGTTCCCGTAGGGCTGGCTGTGATTCGACTGGTAAATTGCAACGCTGATGGAAAACTGTCAGTCGATCCAACGGGTATGATCTGTGGTAGTGCGGGGCATGTCATATCTGTGCTGGTTGTTACCTGCACCATGGGTGGTAGCTTTCTGGTTGGTCTCCCGTGGATATTGCGTCGTCGTATGAGGGAGTCAGTGGTTCACTCGAGTGTGGAGAATCACGAACGATTCATGCAGGAAAAAGAGCTGGAATTTATACTCGGCACATCGGACGCGTATTTGGAGCTGTACATGCCGCAGTTTGCTTCATTCCGTAGACATTCTGTGGTGATGCCAGTGCAGATATGTATACTGAAACTCCTGCTGATGCTCGTCTTCTCAGTTTTGCGGTCGTCATCACCGTCACTGGCGAATCAAGGGACGCAGGGGTCGATTTTCTTTTTCTTAGTAGTGGGCATGGCAGTGTACAGGACGTGGAAGTTCCCCTATCGCTGTCTGTCCTCGTCTTACTTAGTCATTATCCTCGACTGGATGCTGGTCTCCAACGGCGTATTCGGTAGGAGGTCTTTCTTGTGATCGTTGTGTGCTGCTGTCACTTATTTAAGCTTATTTGGTAGTGCTGCTTTGTTCAAATGGTGTCCGCAGTGCTCTCACCGTATCAACATCAGTGACCTCGTCACTGACTTTCCTGAATATAAGTTTCTTAATTATGATCGGCTCCAAGGCGCTACGCGACATTATACTGTTAAAGCTGGACCCGCAATCTGCGAAACTCAAGGGTCTTTGTTGGCCAACACATGACCTGATGAAGGAAATCGTCGACTATGGACCGAGGGTAGAATTTTGGGTGAAAGCGATTCACGACGCGCAGAATATCACTCTTGCATCGCTTCTAGTTATCCCGTCGATGCGGTCTGCTGAAGACCTGAAAACCGCGCTGGACCAAGTTGAGCTCTGTTACGAAGAAGCTGCTGGCTGCGATCACTTGTTAATGGTAAAGATTTTTAACCGAAGCATTTCGTTAAAAACTAAGCTAACCTGTTCAGGATTTTCAGGGCCAACTCTATGAGGTTTCACTGTACGTCCATGAACTCTACGTGGAGGCAGTAGCATCAAGTCCATTCCATAGGATCGGCTTCCCTGCGAAAGATATGGCCAAATTTACAGGTGTTCTGCAACGCCGAAAAGATCGACATATCCTTCTTTCACCTCGAACTCGGCGTGTTCTGAATAAGCTGCAAGTTACTCGAAGCTGGCCACGTCGAGAACGGCCGAACGCATCGGAAAGTACAGGCTGGAATCAAGAACGCATGGCAGTTGGCATTCAGGAAACGTTGAACGCAGAATCTGACAGTTATCAGGTCTCAGTGCTAGCGGCAACAGACTAGAAAGCTGTGAATTCTGTCTTCAGCCTTTTAAATCCCTGGCAGACAGGGCTGAAGCTCTGTGAAATGGTGAGCGCTTTCCACAATCAACTCCAATAAATTATCGTCTATAGATAGGAAGGCATGCGTTTTGCTACTACCACGTTGGTATATTCAGGGCTCGATGAATGTTTGAGCGCCGGGTCACAAGCTGCCTGATGCGAGAATGGGAGAATTGATTGAAGCTGCAGAACGTGTCCGAGTCGTCGTTCGAGTTCGGCCTCCGAATGATCGCGAGCTGCAACAGATTCCGTGTCACCGCGTACAGTATTTCAGTGCTTTTGATTGTTATCTTTGTTTAGCAACTTATTTGCTGTGTGCTGATGCTTCCGTGCGTGTTTCTAAGACGCTCACAGTAGATGATGAAGGAGGACAAGTCTTTGTGTGCAAAAAGAAATCAGAGAAGGATGTCGAGCGTGAACTTCGGTACTCTTACGATCGAGTATTTAACGAGATGGCAAATCAAACCGACGTCTTCAATTATCTCCGCGACGGGGTGCAACAAGTAGCACAAGGCTTCAATTGTACAATTTTTGCTTATGGCCAGACAGGAACGGGGAAAACGCATACGATGCTGTGAGTAGAGCGGCAAAGTTGTCTTAACCAATTCGTTATTGGAGTGAGTTGCTAACAGATAAAGTGTACAGAGGGCAAGATTTGGAGCACCACCTAGTTACCTCAGTCCTAAGCCCGGAAGCATCCGAACCACCTGCAAGTTGGGGGGTGATTCCTCGAGCGATTGAGAGTTTGTTTGAAGAGCTTCAGTCGATTGGTCGGCACGGTTCGGCTGGTGTCGTACATTGTTCGTATATGCAGATCTACAACAACGACGTTTACGATCTACTTCAGGATAATAAAAAACGCATGGAGGACCCACTTGCTGTGCGGGAAATGATCAAGGGCAATGCTAAGCAGGTCTACGTCAGTGGACTCTCCGAGTTTCGCGTCACGAATCTTCAAGAAACGTTGCAGTTATTGAAAACAGGCAATCGAAATCGGACAATTCGCGCCACAACGTACAATGAGAAAAGTAGTCGCAGTCACGCATTATTGCAACTCTCAATTGAAGTCGAGTCTCGAGGATTAGAGAGCGCAACGACAATTATTCGACGAGCAAAACTCAATCTCGTCGACTTGGCAGGGTCCGAGAAATGGGACTCAGCTGTAGTTACAGGAAGTGACCGCAGCAAGGAGCTAACAAGTATCAACCAGAGTCTATCGGCTTTGGGGAACGTTATTTCGGCACTTGTTAATCCGAGGCGAACGCATATCCCCTATCGGGATTCCAAACTAACTCGCTTACTTCAGGATAGTCTCGGGGGCAACACTCGAACGATAGTGATTGCAACCATCTCTCCGTCCGAAGCCGCAGTTGACGAGACGATTTCTACGCTTCAATTTGCCGACCGGGCCAAGTGCGTGACAATTCGAGTCAAAGTGAACGAGTTGGTAGACGATGCAATTCTGTTAGCACAGGCACAACGGGAGATTTCCCGACTGAAATTATTGCTGAAACAAAGCAGCTCTCATCAACAACTATCCACACTTGAAGATCAAGTAGCACGATTGACAAAAGAAAAGGCAGCTCTTGTTGCTGAGAATCAAAAGCTTCGCCACAGCGTTGCGAACCTCCGGAAAGCTTTCTCGGGGGGAGTGAAGACGAATTCCGCAAAGCTACGGGATAATGCAGCGGTCGTAGTATCTCATTCAACCCCTCCTTCTAACCGAAATGGCGACCAAGGCATCGGAGATCAACCATCATCAACTCTGCAATTAAATCAATTGCGGCTTGATTTGAAGGCTCTTGGTGGCACAAAACCAGCGGCGATTACAGCATTTACGGAGGAAATTACAGATAATGAACGATTCGAACAAGCTGCAAAGGCTCAGGAGCTAATTTTGCGTGAAATTCAAACAGAACGACGTGAGCTGGAGCGACAGCTGGAGCTTCTATCAGGACCGGGGGACAACCAACGAGGTAATTCATCCGGAAATGGAGAAACCTCGGATGGAACTGAAGATCCTTGCCCGATCTGTGGGAACGACATAGATAATCACAATGATGCAGAACTTGATCGCTGCATTGAGTTGGAGATGAAGCCGGTCAATCAGCAGCGAGTCGCGGCAGCCAAACCCGATTTACCGACTAGCGAGGAGAACAACATACAGCAACAACGTCCTAACACCCAGAGTGAGAAAGCGACCTTGGTTCAAGCTAGTGGACCTCGTATCAGAGCAGCCCCTCGTTCTGCTACGTCCGGCCCGAGACTTCGACGAGTCTCCACCTCTGCACACGGCAAATCAAGTCCATATATTTCGGATGAAGCTCGAAAACCATCGACTCCGCAACAAGCAAAAGTTACAAAATCTGCTCACAAGGCAAACGGCTTGTCGAAAGAAGCCTTCACTGACGCACACAAGAGCTATCGCTCTAACACGGAGGTCAATAATCAGATCGATAGTCACTCTTCACCACCTCCACAGATGCCGATCCCCATTCTACGCCAGGGACACAAGGGACTGAGAGCTTTGAAGAAGTTTCGGGCGACATCTCCATACAACAACGCTATACCTCGCAAAGAAAAGCGAGCAACACTGCGAATGGCGAAGCACAGATCAGAGGCGACTACTGACATCAGAAACGGTGAAAGTAGTAATTTCATCGCCAACTCAGTGCGCGACATTGGGCTGGAGTTGAGTGTGTACAAATGCCGGTGCGTTTATTTCTTGAGCGACCATCTTAGTATTGTTAAGTAGCTAACTGCATCGATTTGCTTGTAACCTACAGATACGATTGCTGGTACAGTTGCACTATCGTGGGCTTTGACCGGAAGCGGCGAATGCACTGCTGCCAGTATGACTGCGGAGATAAGCAATGGCAGGATCTCTCGGGACACAAGGTCCACGTTATTGGCAGATCGGACAATTCCAACTAGGAAATGGAATGTGATAAACTACAGCACATGTCAAAGCAAATACACCAACTCCGCGGACGACATACAGTAGTATTCATGGTAAGCCCCAACAACAAATTGGAGATAGAAATGACAAAACGGATAAGAGCTAAAGCCTCGCCTGACTCATCAGCAATCGCAGCGGCGGTATATTATGCTTTAAAAGCAAACCTCCCCTTGTAGCCCTCGTCCCTGCGATTCTGATCGACCTTGTAATTTTAACTGTTGCCAATCTTGCCGTGGCGAAACATCCTCTCGTCCCTCTGCTGGCAGATATTTCTCTTAAATTTGACGCAGATACATGTCCGTTGCAAGCACCAGCCCCTTACCGGTAGCCTCACCGAATCCACTGAAAGGAATTGGCCAAGACTTGCATTTCCAAACGTGGTAGCACTTCTAACAACACGGTGTCCAACAAAAGCCAGGAATGCTTCTCGCATAGTCGATCCGGTTCCGAACATCAGGATGCGCTTCATGCAGCGCCTTCGCCACTTCTTTCAGCACTTGCACGAAGTCAAATTTACCCTTGCTTCCGATCGTGGCAGTAGTCAGAACTAGCACCAACACAACCTTGAAAAATAACCTCATCTTGAATCGTTGGACGCGACAGCTTTGACGGCTACAAGAAATGTGCCACTGGTCAGAGAAGTCAGGTAGACAGTCATCCATCGCTGAGGAGATTGCAATGACCCAGCAGTCAGACGCGTTCACAAGATCACACACACAAAATTCCAGTGCACGATTGAATCGCGACTGCAAGTTATTCACACGACTTGCCTTTCAGCTGGGCCAACAGAGATAATGCATCACTTCGAGGGACGTCATACGCCGGGTTCTCGCAAAATGTATCCCCATGAGAGCAAGTCATGCAGCTGATGCAGCATTCATGTTCCACTCGGCAGGCTTGCTTTCGTAAAACGTTCCTCTGTCGGACCGCTTTCAAACGCGATACTGAACGTGTACGCGCTTTCCAACATCTCTGCCATCTCGTTGTCCTCGTGATTCTTAAGAGAATCCCTTACAAGTCCTGGAAACTCGTCCAGAATCCGATAGTTTCTCGTTCCTAGACCGCTGACACAGAGAGAATGGCAGCGCTTACCGTTATATTCTTTCTTCCAAGCATCAAAATGTGATGGGATTGCCTGCGTCATGGCGTTCAGATTTGACTTCTTTTTTTGAGAAATCCCAATGTTGAAACCAGCGGTTTGGCAGACCGCTTCGAGAATGTCGGGACCTTCACGTGTTGTGACACTACAACGATAAGCGCAAGCTCTCCGGTAACAGCACAGTTAGCGCAGCTGATGGCTTTAAGGTTTGTTGTGGGTCGTAACCCCTGTAGAGCGGGAAATCATTCTTAATACGCCTCCAGGATCGTGTAGACCTCGAGGTCGCGGGGACCGATCCTTTCGAGACAACTGCAGCTTGACAGTTACAAGTAGTTCATTTATCCCATTCTTGAAGGACTGAACATCCGTGTCTCCACTTAGAGGAGCGCTATCACGTTCTGCCAGCGAGGCTCAGCTGGCATGTACCAACTGGAACCAGATCTTGGGCACCTATACGACGACTCTTGGTTTTCACTCAACTCCACCTTATCAACCGGAACCACCTGTACTTCTTCCACCCCATTGTCAATAACTTTCTGGGATGAAGTTCGTGGGTAAAGGGATGGGGGGGGCTACTGTAGACAAGACTTGAGCAATATCGTATAGATCTATGTATTTACTTGCCATACTTATGACGGTGCAGAGCACCAGGCAAGCGGCTCAGCACCTTAAGCCACGGGGTCTCTACGATGATCAGCTCGTTGTCTGCAACAAAGTCGACGAAGGACAATGGACGGTATCGGTTGACGACACGGCAGAATCCATCCTCCAGCTCCACCAGCTCCCCCTCCGCAGCATCATTTTTGCTGTCCGATTCCGTACAAACGCTCATAGCACGACGGCGAGTCTTCTTGGGCGGACTCTTGGCAGACGCTTGCTTGCCCATGTTAATCTGGTAAAGACTCACCTGCGAGTAGAGGTAGAGGAAATCCGGATTGGCCGGATCGAAAGCCATACCCTTGAGGTTACGGCCTTCCACCAGCTCCTTGGGGAACTGCTCATGGTTTTGACGGTACCATTCGGACAGTCCCTTAGTCTCCACATCGTAGCACACAAAGCTGTTGGACACGAGCGTAACTACCAAAGTCTTGCCCGAAGGATTGAAGCTCATACTTGTGTGCATCTCACTGGGACGAGGCAATTGGCAGTAGAACTGCATCGAATCCAAATTGTAAACGGCAATGTTGTTAGAGGCATCACCAGTGGCCAGCCATTGGCCGTCCGAGGAAATAGTGAGCGAAACCAGCGGAGACGGCACACTTGCACTCTTGTCTCCAGTCGTGGCCGGCGTATCAACCTCGAAGGTCTTCAGAACTTCCATCTTGGCCAGATCCAGAACGCGAATCTGGTACGAGGCCGACGCGATCACTAGACGAGTGGAGTCGGGCGAAAAGGCCAGCACACGAGCTGGTCCCTTGACGCTACGAGGCAACGTAGTGACCTTCTTTGGCTGGAAACTCTGCTCCGTATCCAGCTCGAAAAGCTTCAGTTCCTTGGAGTTCGAGCAGGCCACAAAGCTAGCGTTCGGGGCCACGGCCGAGCATGACAAATTCAAGGCGTTGCCCACGTTTAGCTCCAGCAACAGCTTGTGCTTCTTGGTGATGGCGCCGGTGGTGGCCGACTGGGTGGCCAAACGCCACAGATCCAGACACGTCGACTTCTGCACCATCAGGACACGTTTCTCGTTGGCCAGCGCAATGGACTGTCGGTACGGCATCGACGCGATCTTGGACGGCCGGCTAGCGCCGAAGCTGTTGCCACGGTACCACACGAGCTGAGTGTCGATACCGCCAGAAACCAGGACCGGCTTAACGTTGGCCGACAGGGCCAGTGCACGCACATCGTGGCTGTGACCACGGTGGCTGTACGAGTAGGCCCAGGTGGCGTTACCGCTCTCGGCCACAGAGCGACGAAACTCAACGACCTGGTTGTCCACACCCGAAGCGAAAAGAGTGTTGTTGCTCTGGCTCACACAAATGGCCAGAACGTCGGCCGTCAGGTGCGAAAACTTTTGCAGCAACGTGCCTGTGGGGGCGTTCCAGAAGCTCAAGTTGCCGGCCGAGTCGCCGCTCACCAGCGTCAGGTCGTCTAGCACCACGAGCGACCAGACGACCGATTTCTGCTTGGTCAGCGTCTCGAGAGTGATACGGGACTCGTTGCGGCCAGTCGCAGCGTTCCAGCAATGGATAATGCCGTTCTCACTGCCCGAAAAGATCTTGTGTGCCTGAGAATGCCAGGCAAGTGACACGACGCGGCCGCCTGTGGTAAGGAATCCTTTGCTGAAGTAGAGCTGGGCCGTCCGCGAACGAGAAGAGGCGGATGCGGGCCATCTTCACAGCCCACGGCCAGTTGCTGCGTCTCGGCGTCCATGACCATACTCCAGATAGGACCGCCATTTGAGTCCGTCACGTTCTTCCGACACAGAGAGTGCAGGTCTAGCTCCCAAAGCGTACCGTCCAATGACGACGCGAACAGGCGGTCGCTGTCTGGGGCCCAGCACAGCGCTGACACTTGGCTCTGGGCCGAGCCGGGCAATACAAACTTGAGGTGCCACTTGTTGGTCACGCTCCAGATCTCCACGTCGCCAGTGGCTCGCGCAACAGCCAACTGATCGCCAGCGGCGTTGAAGCACAGCGCGTGAGCGGCCGACGGCATCCAGTCTACGAAGCGGCAGCGGTGCACCTGCAGCGTCGTTGCTGTGGCCGAAGCATCGCCGGGAATGACGTCGCTAGCCTTGCGCTTCTTGGTGGTCTTGGGTGTCATGGCGGGCGGGCACGAATGACAATCGGCCTGGAGCTGCTCGTTTGGTTGGTTGGCTCTGGCGGATAGTGCAACAGCATTGGCTGAAATCGGAAAGTGCCTTGCCACAAATTGTGTTATTGCCACAAATTGTGACCACCATTAACCTTTAAACAAGCTAAAGGGAATAACCGTTTTTAAGCGATTTTTTTCTTAAATTCATTCTTATTATAAGTAAAGAGTTTAAAATAGAATAAAAAATTGGTCTTTAAATAAAGCCTCTTTTTTAGCAACATAAAATGTATTATTGCTAAAAGCACTTTCTTTACGTTGGTAAAAAAATATTTTTTATAAGACTACATGTAGTTTTATTAAAATAGCATACCGGGCAAAAATGTCCATCTATGTTTGCGCAGCTGATAAACGTCCACAAAAGTCCAGAATTGCGCAAACACCAGTAGAGCACTTCAACTTCCGCCACAAGACTTCGGGCGGTACGGAAGCACCTCAAGTTTCTTCGGAAATATCGTCGTCATTGTTCAATTTGCCTCATACAGTACCGGTCATGACGAAGCAACATCCCTTCACCGCTGGCCCTCAAACGCCCAAATCGCCATCCTCCATGGACGACCCTCCGATCTCCTTCCGAGAGCAGGAGAACCCGATTCGCACTGCGTCCTTCTTCTCCATGGTGAGCATGGCTTGGATGCAGCCACTGATCTCTCTCGGTGCCAAGCGTCCCTTGGAACGGGAAGATGTATGGGCCATGTGTCCGGAAAGACAATTGCGCTGTACTTCGAGTCAAGTTCGAGATGGAGCTCCGCGCCATCAACAACGGAAAGACTCCTCAGCCTCTCGGCATACCTCGAGTAGCTTTGGCTCTTGTGAAGACGTTTCCTCGCCAGATTGTGGTCGTGTTCGCAAGCGACCTGCTGTTCCTCGCTGGATCTGCCTTGATCTCTTTCCTCGTGGAAGCCATTCTGGACTACATCAATGATCGAGACAATGTCTTCGGTATCCAGAACGGATACGTTTTGGTGGTCATGCTGTCGCTAGTGGCCTTTCTATCCATGGTGAGCTTCAACTTCGCCTGGTTCATCTCGTCTCGAATCGGTGTCAACATGCGATCGCTGCTATTAGATGCAGTATACCGCAAGTCGCTGCGTCTCTCAAGTGAGGCACGTCAGAAATATTCCTCGGGCGAGATCATGACGCTCGTGAGTGTCGATATCGACCGCGTTTTCAACGGAATGATGAATGGGCCATGGGTTCTCCTAGCACCAATTGGTTTTACCATCAGTGTCGTGTTGATCGGTGTGCTTTTCGACCCCGTTGCTGCTGTGGCTGGGCTGGTGTTGCTGATTCTGGTGCTTGCAACTTCATTAAGTCTGGCTAAACGGATTGGTCGAGCTCGGCGTGATCTTCTACACGTAACTGCAGAACGCCTTCGAGTGACATCCGAGGCACTTCAGGGCATCCGAGTGACCAAATTTTACGCCTGGAGCGAGTCCGTGGCGACTCGAGTGGAGAAAATTCGTTGTGAAGAGGTCAAACGCTATCGTCGCTTTCACTTTTTGCAGATCCTCAATTCGGCGCTACTTTTCCTTACGCCCACTTTCCTGGCTGGTGTAACGATCGGAGTATACGTCGTGCACCATGGCACGTTCTCGGTAATCCAAGCGTTTACGTTGATCGCAGTTATCAACGTGAGTCGCCAGGGCGTCAACGCGTTCCCGTTAGGAGTTGCGGACCTTTTCCAATCTGCAGTAGCGTGTCACCGGGTCGACGAGTTTTTGGACAGCAACGAGCTCACACCTGACGCCAGAGTCAGCAAAGACTCGAGCTCTACCGTGAGAGACCGTGTCTCCGTCGAGAACGCTCAGTTTTGCTGGCCTGTGGCTAACAATTCCGTCAAAGATAATGGTCTTGAGGACGTGAACGTGCACATTGAAGCTGGTTCCCTTGTTATGGTTGTTGGTACCGTTGGATCGGGCAAGTCAAGTTTGCTGCAGGCGCTGCTCGGTGAGATGCAAATGACTAGTGGGCGTGCTGATATCCACGGAGAAATCGCGTACGTGAGTCAGGAAGCGTGGGTCCGCAACGCAACTCTGCGCGATAACATCGTCTTCGAAGGAGATTTTGACAGTGAACGCTACGAGAGGGTGCTAGCAGCGTCTCAGTTGTCCCTGGATCTGGCTGCACTGCCAAGTGGCGATCGTACTGAGATCGGTGAACGTGGCATCAATTTGAGTGGAGGGCAGAAAGCCCGAGTGAGTGTCGCTAGAGCTTTATATCGCGAGTCTGCAGACATTCTGCTACTAGATGACCCGTTAAGCGCAGTGGATCCGCACGTAGCGCACGCCATCTTCGAGCAGTGCATTCTGGGTCTAGCCCAACACAAGACGCGTGTTCTGGCGGTAAACAGCCATTATGATCTGCTGGTCCATGCTGATAAAGTTGTGGTTGTACAGAGCGGACGCATTGCTAGTGAAGGGAACTACACGGAAACAATTGCTCGGCTCCCAGGGTTAGCTTCCAAAGCGTCAAAGGAAGACTATCATGTCGAAAACGAGGACAAACAGCAAGCATCAACGTCCAATCAAGAGAATCAGATCGATTCCTCTTCTCCTGTTGACACTAGCGACGCGAAAGCTGGAAACCAATTGATGGAGAAGGAGGACCGGGTGAAAGGAAGAGTGATGGGATACACCTACAAGACTTATCTGGACGAGACTGATTTTACTGCTTTTACGGTGGTGGTGATCGTCGTTACGGGGTACACCGTAAGTCAAGGACTCCTCGTTCTCGTGAACTGGTGGCAAGCGGATTGGGCTGACAATATGCGTCATCCTAATGCATCCTATTCGGCCTCGTGGTTCGGTTTGTGGTACTTTGGGCTCATCGCTTTCGGTGCAGTTGCAACAATCTGTCGTAGCGTTATTGTGATGTCGCTACTGCTACGAAGCTCCGAGAACCTGCACGACGAGCTCTTTCGACGCGTACTTGCTGCCCCAGTGACCACATACTTCGACGTGACACCTGTGGGGCGTATTCTCAACCGCTTCTCCAACGATCTGGACCAAATGGACTCGTTACTACCTCAGCAATGGCAGAATTTTGTGCAGAATATCTCATTAAGTGTCGGCGGCTTCATCGTCTGTGCGCTGGCGTCGTACTGGATTGGACTCTTTTATATTCCAGTGATAGCTGCACTGGCTGTGACGGGTTTCTACTTCAAGAAAACCTCTCGAGAAGTCAAGCGCCTCGAGAGAATTTCAAGATCCCCCGTGTATAATTTATTGGGCGAGACTTTAAACGGTGTACAGACCATCCGCGCTTTCAAGATGCAGTCGAGATTCGAGCAGATGAACGCGGATGCTGTGGATGAGAACGCGTCGTTCTTCTTTGTCTACTGGGCAGCAGGTCGGTGGTTGGCGGTGCGTCTGGATACTCTCTCTGTCGTGGTCATTTTTGTGGTATCGCTCTACTTGGTGGCGACAAAAGGACAGCTCGGCACCTTACTCTCGGGTATTTCGCTTGTATACGCGCTCATGTTGACGTCGATGGTGCAGTCTTCGGTGCGTGATGTGGACCGCACAGACAACGCCATGACGAGTGTCGAGCGTATTCTGCACTTCCGTGAGATCCCGCAAGAGGAAGACTCTCTGGACGCGTCTCCCATCAACAATACCTTGTGGCCGTCACAAGGTGCTATCAGATTCGACAATCTGCAGCTCAAGTATCGCCCGGAACTACCTCTTGTACTTTGCGGTGTGACTATGAGCGTCGGTGGCGGCGAAAAGTTGGGGATATGCGGACGTACTGGTGCCGGTAAGAGCTCCCTGATGATTGCGCTTTTCCGTATCTGTGGGTTTGAAAGTGGAACCATTCGTATCGATAGTGTGGATGTCCAGAAGGTAAAACTAAATGACCTTAGACGAAGCCTCGCGATCATTCCGCAAGACCCGGTACTATTCAGTGGATCGCTTCGAGACAACCTCGACCCGTTTGGTGAATACTTGGATGCTGACATTTGGACAGTCTTGAAGCAGGTTCATCTCGCAAACGCTGTTTCCAGTTGGGGCTCTGGTTTGCAGCTCATTCTCTCAGAAAAGGGAGACAATCTGTCGGTAGGACAGCGTCAACTCGTGTGTATCGGTCGTGCGCTGCTTAAGAACAGCAAGATCGTCGTGCTGGATGAGGCCACCGCCAATGTGGACACGGCCACCGACGCGCTCATCCAGGCCACCATCCGCCAGACGTTCGCCGACAAGACTGTGCTGACCATTGCGCACCGCATCAACACGATCATGCATTGCAATAAGATTGCTGTCATAGACGCAGGCTAGGTGGTTGAGTTCGGGCCGCCGGCGGATCTTTTGGCGCAGTCAGAGTCGATCTTCGCGTCGCTCGCTAAACGCTCGACACTGCAGTGACGCTGATGGGGATAAATCCCATCGAAATTTGCTTTCGTCAAATCTTTTGGCTGTTGAAAACTACAACGATGGATCCGAAGGATTCTTAAACGGTGAGCGTAAGTTACAGTAACAAATCTTCTATTTGCTAATAAGAAAATGAAACAGTCGCGTTTGTTTAAGACTTTCAGAAAACCGAAGTACATTTGCTTCAAAGTGTTTGTAATATGTTGACACACCTCATCACCGTGATGGGAAGTATGATTTGCAACTTGGCACACCTCATCATCGTGATAGGATGATTGATTACTTGTGTCTATGATAGCGAGAGTTTTCTTAAATCCAAGGAATGTGCCCATTATCACGCTCAAATTCAGTATCGACTTGCCTCGACAACGGCATCGCATCTGTCGTGCCCTCACTTCGCAATTGCTGTCATTGTCCTCATATCGGAGTCCTCAGACTCACATCGTGCTCAAGACATGGAAAGTATCCAGCACTACGTGTCGGCTCCGTCCACTCCTCGAAGCGTCCTAGCCAACGAAAGGATTGCGAACGAGTCGAACGCCAAGCCAACCACCACACAGCTCTTCAGTCAGCTACCGAATCCACTTTCCACTGCGTCCGTGCTGTCTGTCATGATAGTGCAGTGGCTCCAGCCTCTAGTTGGGCTGGGTGCCAAGCACGTTCTCGAGAAAGAAGATATTTGGCCAATTTGTGCAAACGACTCGTGCGCCTCGCTCCAAAGCCGCTTTCGCATGGTCTACACTCCACATAAGAAGTTGCCGTTCGGACTCTCCCCCGTCGCCATGGCTTTCATTGCCACATTCAAGCGTGAGATCCTTGTTGTACTCGGCAGCTGCCTGCTGTACATTTTCGCACTGTCATCGCAGTCGTACGTGGCACAGGCAGTGCTGCAGTTCCTGGCGGGAGAAGTTAACCTTTTTCACGTGGAAAATGGTTACTGGTTACTGGTGTTCATGGCGGCCGCATCCATTTTGGCTGCTAGCTCGCTCACCTACGTCTTCTTCGTTTCGTCCAGAACGGGTGCTAACATGCGATCCCTCGTGATGCATCTGGTGTACCAGAAGTCTCTGCGTTTACCGTGTGTGGCGCGTCAGCAGTATTCAACGGGCGAAGTGTTGACGCTCATGAGCGTGGATGCCGAACGTGTATTCACCGTTATGATGGAGAGTCCTTGGCTTGTGGTAGGACCCGTGAGTTTCGTCATATCCGTCGTACTAATCGGATTTCTCTTCGACTTTACGTCTGCGGCGGGTGGAGCTGTCACCTTGATGGTGGTCAGCATTGCATCGGTGCAGTTCGGAAATACTATTGCACGAATCCAACATGATCTCCTTGACGAACGTGTGAAAGTCACGTCTGAGTCGTTGCAAGGGATTCGTGTCATGAAATTCTACGCCTGGGAGGAATTGCTCGCTCATCGCGTGGAGAAGATTCGCGCCAAGGAGATTGCACTACTACGCAAGTTCCACCTGTATCAGGTTGTGAACACAGTGATGCTGTTCCTCACTCCGGCGTTCCTATCCGGAGTCACACTTGGGATTTACGTGGCGGTCAATGGCACGATCTCAGTTATCGACGCCTTCACTCTCATTTCCATGGTCAACATCTGCCGCACTGCGTTGATCCAGCTTCCTGTTGCCATTTCCGCTTTTTCGCAGGCTCGGATCGCATTCGCTCGAATTGATCTCTACCTTTCCAGCGACGAGTACGGCCAGTTGCAATTGGACAATAGTGCAGCAAATGAATTAGAGACCCCTTCTGCTGTCGGTAGTATATCCGTTCGTGACGCTGACTTCGAGTGGCCATTGTCCAGCAAAACGGCCGATGTCGTGGTGGTCACACCTGCTCTTGAGGGAAACGAAGTATCGACTCATACGTTGAGAGAAGCCTCCGAGCTTGGATTTGGAGTAGACTGCAATGGTCTTAGTTTTAGTCGGAGCTCATCAAGTGTGAGAGCGTCGATGCCTGCTGATGTAAGAGATGAAGAGAGACGGAGCTTTCGACTCGAAGGTGTGGATCTGGAGATCGACAATAGATCGCTCGTGATGATCATCGGCACTGTGGGTGCTGGCAAGTCGAGTTTGCTGAACGCTCTACTGGGTGAAATGACACTGAAGCGTGGAAGTCTGGATCTCAGAGGTGACGTATCTTACGTTAGCCAAGAGACTTGGATCCGCAATCTGAACGTGCGCGACAACATTCTGTTCGGAGAATCGTTTGATGTCGAGCGATACGAGACCGTACTGGAAGCTTCAGAACTTGCCATGGATCTCCGCGCGCTGCCACACGGGGATCGTACCGAGATTGGCGAGCGCGGTATCAATTTGAGTGGCAGACAGAAGGCCCGTGTGGCCATCGCGCGTGCCATGTACCGTTCACACTATGATGTATTATTACTGGATGACCCGCTGAGTGCTGTGGACTCTCATGTAGCGCACGGCATCTTCGACAAGTGCATTATGGGTCTGGCCAAGTCGAAGACTCGCATCTTGGTGCTGAACAGCCACTACGACCTGATTAATCGTGCTGACAAGGTGCTGGTGATGCGTGACGGTACCATTGCCGGTGACGGCACGTATGAAGAGGTGATGGCGATGTTCCCCGAGCTGGATATGACGCAAACTGCGAGTGGGAATTCTGATGGGGCTGGGTGGCATAGTAACCACGATCCAACGCAGGACAAGCAAGCACCTGTGAAGACCTCCGCGCCAGCGACGGGGGCTCAGATAGAAGAAGGAACCGAAGACAGCCAACAACTCATTCAAGAGGAGGACCGCATCAAGGGCACCGTGGCCAGCGACGTGTACAAGACGTACTTCGACGAGTCGGGAATGAACGGACTCGTCGTTATCTTCCTCATCGTCGTGTTCTACACCGTAAGTCAAGCTGTGCGCGTGGTTGTGACTGGTGGCCGAGTCACTGGCCCAAGAACATGCCTCGCCGTGACGTTGACCCGACGTACTCCGGGGAGGACTTCACGCTGTGGTATGTGGGTCTGATCATGCTGGCTACGGTGCTGACCCTCGGTCGGGCCTTGTATTTGACGGAGACCTGCGTACGCACGTCCAAAAATCTGCACAACGATCTGTTCCGTCGGGTGTTGGGCGCTCCAGTAAACCGCTACTTCGACGTCACACCCGTGGGTCGCGTGCTCAACCGCTTCTCTAATGATCTCGATCAGGTAGACTCGGTACTACCCAAGGATTACCAAATTGTGGCTCAGCACGCTTCAATGGCTTTGGGGTCCTTTGTCGTATCAGCTTTCGTGAGTTACTGGATCGCGGTTGCGTACATCCCTATCATCGTCGTCTTTGTTGTCACGGCCCGATATTTCAAGAAGACGAGCTGCGAGGTCAAGCGTCTCGAAGGAGTCACTCGTACACCAGCCTACAACCTCTTTAGTGAGACGCTATCCGGGCTGCAAACCATCCGAGCTTTCAAGATGCAGGACACGTTCAAACTTCTGAACAAGAAGGTGGTGGATGAGAACGCCAACATGTACATCACATATTGGTCGGCGGGTCGATGGCTAGCTGCACGTCTTGACATGCTGTCCGTGGTCATCATTGTCATTGTCACAGCGTATCTCGTATCTACCAAAGGCCAGCTGAGTGCCATGACCGCGGGTCTCTCGCTCACATATTCACTCATGCTGACGGCCGTGGTGCAGTGGGTCACTCGAGCTGTTGACCATGTTGACAGCGCCATGACGAGTGTGGAGAGACTGCTGCATTTTCGTAATATTCCACAAGAAGAAGATGCTTCTGACTGCACTCCGCTTAACAGCTCAGTGTGGCCTTTGCAAGGAGCCATCAAGTTCGACAACCTGTGCCTCAAATACCGACCGGAGCTGCCACTGGTGCTACGTGGAGTAAGTATGGACATCCGCGGAGGAGAGAAAGTCGGAATCTGCGGACGAACGGGGGAGGGTAAGACTCTTACTAAGAGCTCACTTATGATCGCACTGTTCCGCATCTGCGAGTACGATAATGGCAGTGTGACCATCGACGGGCCATTGCGAGAGAACTTGAACCCGTTTGGCGAGTACTCAGACACGGAGATCTGGACTGTATTACAGCAGGTCCACATGGCCGATAGTCTGGCCAAGTGGAGTGCTGGGCTAGATTTTGAGGTATCGGAGTGCGGCGACAACTTGTCGGTAGGACAGCGTCAACTCGTGTGTATCGGTCGTGCACTGCTTAAGAACAGCAAGATCGTCGTGCTGGATGAGGCCACCGCCAATGTGGACACGGCCACCGACGCGCTCATCCAGGCCACCATCCGCCAGAAGTTACCAGATAGACGGCAGCTAACGTGTTGATGCGGTGGTAAGAATAGAGTTAATAACCCTGTAAGATGCGTGTGTGCGACGACGTGTTTCTTACATGCTGGTGTGGGTATGAACGTGGTTTGTACTACAGCTTCAGCGGCACATCGCGACCCGCCTACGTAGTTCGAAGGTGATCTCAACTATGATTTGAAGGACATTTTCCCGTACAACTCCGACAGAGTTGTGTGAAGTGGTAGATATATATTCATAAATAATGCTGTGTTACTATGCTTTAGTGTTTACAGATACCGGTAATGTGCAGATACAACTCTAAAAAATAATTAGAAGTACGACAACGGTTGCTGGTGTAGGCGTTTGCAGTTGATAAAGGAGCTCGTGCATTGGAGCTGGTACGTCGGAGCTGGTACAATTTGAAAGGTCTTTGTGTTCAGAGCCACCTGCGCTGATTGGAGGCAGCACTTGCTTGGCAACGTCGCGTCTTGGACTCGGCTCGGTGTCCAAGATACGTTGCGTCCTTGAGATAGCTGAACAGCCTGGACGCCACGTTCTTGTTGGACGGGACTGGTGTTGATGCAGAGGTTGGTGCGTGGCGATCCTTGGCATCGACCGCCTTGGCCTTGCGTTTCGATGCCCGCTGGAAGTCATACACGCGTCGCTGTACGCGCTGGATCCTGAGTCGATTGGAGAGTGCAGGACAACGAGCTCGAGTGACTTCTCGGGTGGCGCCTTGGGTGGACTCGTGTACCTTGTGTTGGTTGGTGTCGGCGTCGCCGACATTGGCAGTAGCTGTGGCATTGGTACGAAGGCCATCGTGTGGCTCGCGGAGGACGGCCGTGGCAATCAGCGAATAGTTTGCCGCCAGGTTCGTGAGAACTCTCACGCACAGCTCTGCGGTCGAGGCTACAGAGGGTGCCACATTGGATGGCTTTGAACGCGTGGCAGGCTGGTCGTCATATACGACAACAGACAAGCTGTGATAAGTCAACGGAGCAGTGAGATCGGCCAGAAAAGTGGTCATCAATGTGGCCTTGTGGACGTGTGGAGCGACGACGGGGCTGACGAGCGCGAGATTCAGCTCTTGTTGCGGCATTGCCGGTGGGCTGTACGGGACGATTGTCAGGCACTGGCTGCGGATCGAAGCTTTGCCAGCATCGTTGAAGTAAGCGATGATATTGGTCGATAGCGTGGTCGTGGAGCTGCCGACGATGAGTGGCCCCAGGACTTGATCAACTGGGTGACGAAGCCGCGAGTGCGTAGATTCGGGGTTGGTCCCCGAGGGCTCCTGGGAAGGCGTGAGGCTGGCCTTGGAAGCAGTCGAGCGCGTCCAGCGAAGACGAGTACTGGTTGGATTGACCGGTGCCCACGTGAAGGAGCGAGCCGGTGAGACGTAGTGCGGGAGATCTCCCTGGACAGGCGGCAGGAAAGCGAAAGCTGACGCCATGGTCGATGGAGAAGGTTGGCGGAGAAGGTCGGTAGGGTTGGTCTGGTGCTTGTGTGGTCCGTGGAAAAACGGAAAGTGAGACAGTGAAAGAATTTGACCCGCGTGTGGTAAATTCTCGAAGAAAGTGACAAGGAGCTCTTGGCGTGGAAAAAGACAAGTCCTTTCTTTCACTTTGTACAATTTTTTATGAGTGTCGCTTAACAAGAACGTCATTTGCTACAGTGTGGAATGGGCGATACATGCTGGTTGTTGTTGGTGTTGATGTTAATATGTGCTGGGGCTTTAGACAGATTGACAGATTTACAGCTTTGGTGAAGTTGTTCGGTACAACTTCAATGCCAAGTCACAGCGAAGCCATTTGTGTATGACACATCAATTGCATTTGTTGACGCAGGGGGGGCATGTCTTCCTCAGGGTCCTACACGTTGGATAATGGGGCCTTGGAGCTACTCCACGTCCTATACAAGAGCGTAAGTGCTCAACGCAACTCTGCGCGATAACATCGTCTTCGAAGGAGATTTCGACAGTGAGCGCTACGAGAGGGTGCTAGCAGCGTCTCAGTTGTCCCTGGATCTGGCTGCACTGCCAAGTGGCGATCGTACTGAGATCGGTGAACGTGGCTTCAATTTGAGTGGAGGGCAGAAAGCCCGAGTGAGTGTCGCTACAGCTTTATATCGCGAGTCTGCAGACATTCTGCTACTAGATGACCCGTTAAGCGCAGTGGATCCGCACGTAGCGCACGCCATCTTCGAGCAGTGCATTCTGGGTCTAGCCCAACACAAGACGCGTGTTCTGGCGGTAAACAGCCATTATGATCTGCTGGTCCATGCTGATAAAGTTGTGGTTGTACAGAGCGGACGCATTGCTAGTGAAGGGAACTACACGGAAACAATTGCTCGGTTCCCAGGGTTAGCTTCCAAAGCGTCAAAGGAAGACTATCATGTCGAAAACGAGGACAAACAGCAAGCATCAACGTCTAATCAAGAGAATCAGATCGATTCCTCTTCTCCTGTTGACACTAGCGACGCGAAAGCTGGAAACCAATTGATGGAGAAGGAGGACCGGGTGAAAGGAAGAGTGATGGGATACACCTACAAGACTTATCTGGACGAGACTGGTTTTACTGCTTTTACGGTGGTGGTGATCGTCGTTACGGGGTACACCGTAAGTCAAGGACTCCTCGTTCTCGTGAACTGGTGGCAAGCGGATTGGGCTGACAATATGCGTCATCCTAATGCATCCTATTCGGCCTCGTGGTTCGGTTTGTGGTACTTTGGGCTCATCGCTTTCGGTGCAGTTGCAACAATCTGTCGTTGCGTTATTGTGATGTCGCTACTGCTACGAAGCTCCGAGAACCTGCACGACGAGCTCTTTCGACGCGTACTTGCTGCCCCAGTGACCACATACTTCGACGTGACACCTGTGGGGCGTATTCTCAACCGCTTCTCCAACGATCTGGACCAAATGGACTCGTTACTACCTCAGCAATGGCAGAATTTTGTGCAGAGTATCTCATTAAGTGTCGGCGGCTTCATCGTCTGTGCGCTGGCGTCGTACTGGATTGGACTCTTTTATATTCCAGTGATAGCTGCACTGGCTGTGACGGGTTTCTACTTCAAGAAAACCTCTCGAGAAGTCAAGCGCCTCGAGAGAATTTCAAGATCCCCCGTGTATAATTTACTGGGCGAGACGTTAAACGGTGTACAGACCATCCGCGCTTTCAAGATGCAGTCGAGATTCGAGCAGATGAACGCGGATGCTGTGGATGAGAACGCGTCGTTCTTCTTTGTCTACTGGGCAGCAGGTCGGTGGTTGGCGGTGCGTCTGGATACGCTCTCTGTCGTGGTCATTTTTGTGGTATCGCTCTACTTGGTGGCGACAAAAGGACAGCTCGGCACCTTACTCTCGGGTATTTCGCTTGTATACGCGCTCATGTTGACGTCGATGGTGCAGTCTTCGGTGCGTGATGTGGACCGCACAGACAGCGCCATGACGAGTGTCGAGCGTATTCTGCACTTCCGTGAGATCCCGCAAGAGGAAGACTCTCTGGACGCGTCTCCCGTCAACAATACCTTGTGGCCGTCACAAGGTGCTATCAGATTCGACAATCTGCAGCTCAAGTATCGCCCGGAACTACCTCTTGTACTTTGCGGTGTGACTATGAGCGTCGGTGGCGGCGAAAAGTTGGGGATATGCGGACGTACTGGTGCCGGTAAGAGCTCCCTGATGATTGCGCTTTTCCGTATCTGTGGGTTTGAAAGTGGAACCATTCGTATCGATAGTGTGGATGCCCGGAAGTTAAAACTAAATGACCTTAGACGAAGCCTCGCGATCATTCCGCAAGACCCGGTACTATTCAGTGGATCGCTTCGAGACAACCTCGACCCGTTTGGTGAATACTCGGATGCTGACTTTTGGACAGTCTTGAAGCAGGTTCATCTCGCAAACGCTGTTTCCAGTTGGGGCTCTGGTTTGCAGCTCATTCTCTCAGAAAAGGGAGACAATCTGTCGGTAGGACAGCGTCAACTCGTGTGTATCGGTCGTGCGCTGCTTAAGAACAGCAAGATCGTCGTGCTGGATGAGGCCACCGCCAATGTGGACACGGCCACCGACGCGCTCATCCAGGCCACCATCCGCCAGACGTTCGCCGACAAGACTGTGCTGACCATTGCGCACCGCATCAACACGATCATGCATTGCAATAAGATTGCTGTCATAGACGCAGGCTAGGTGGTTGAGTTCGGGCCGCCGGCGGATCTTTTGGCGCAGTCAGAGTCGATCTTCGCGTCGCTCGCTAAACGCTCGACACTACAGTGACGCTGGTGGGAATGTATCCCATCGAAATGTGCTTTCGTCAAATCTTTCGGCTCTTGAAAACTACAACGATGGATCCGAAGGATTCTTAAACGGTGAGCGTAAGTTACAGTAACAAATCTTCTATTTGTTAATAAGAAAATGAAACAGTCGCGTTTGTTTAAGACTTTCAGAAAACCGAAGTACATTTGCTTCAAAGTGTTTGTAATATGTTGACACACCGTATGATTTGCAACTTGGCACACCTCATCATCGTGATAGGATGATTGATTACTTGTGTCTATGATAACGAGAGTTTTCTTAAATCCAGTGAATGTGCCCATTATCACGCTCAAATTCAGTATCGACTTGCCTCGACAACGGTATCGCATCTGTCGTGCCCTCACTTCGCAATTGCTGTCATTGTCCTCATATCGGAGTCCTCAGACTCACATCGTGCTCAAGACATGGAAAGTATCCAGCACTACGTGTCGGCTCCGTCCACTCCTCGAAGCGTCCTAGCCAACGAAAGGATTGCGAACGAGTCGAACGCCAAGCCAGCCACCACACAGCTCTTCAGTCAGCTACCGAATCCACTTTCCACTGCGTCCGTGCTGGCTGTCATGATGGTGCAGTGGCTCCAGCCTCTAGTTGGGCTGGGTGCCAAGCACGTTCTCGAGAAAGAAGATATTTGGCCAATTTGTGCAAACGACTCGTGCGCCTCGCTCCAAAGCCGCTTTCGCATGGTCTACACTCCACATAAGAAGTTGCCGTTCGGACTCTCCCCCGTCGCCATGGCTTTCATTGCCACATTCAAACGTGAGATCCTTGTTGTACTCGGCAGCTGCCTGCTGTACATTTTCGCACTGTCATCGCAGTCGTACGTGGCACAGGCAGTGCTGCAGTTCCTGGCGGGAGAAGTTAACCTTTTTCACGTGGAAAATGGTTACTGGTTACTGGTGTTCATGGCGGCCGCATCCATTTTGGCTGCTAGCTCGCTCACCTACGTCTTCTTCGTTTCGTCCAGAACGGGTGCTAACATGCGATCCCTCGTGATGGATCTGGTGTACCAGAAGTCTCTGCGTTTATCGTGTGTGGCGCGTCAGCAGTATTCAACGGGCGAAGTGTTGACGCTCATGAGCGTGGATGCCGAACGTGTATTCACCGTTATGATGGAGAGTCCTTGGCTTGTGGTAGGACCCGTGAGTTTCGTCATATCCGTCGTACTAATCGGATTTCTCTTCGACTTTACGTCTGCGGCGGGTGGAGCTGTCACCTTGATGGTGGTCAGCATTGCATCGGTGCAGTTCGGAAATACTATTGCACGAATCCAACATGATCTCCTTGACGAACGTGTGAAAGTCACGTCTGAGTCGTTGCAAGGGATTCGTGTCATGAAATTCTACGCCTGGGAGGAATTGCTCGCTCATCGCGTGGAGAAGATTCGCGCCAAGGAGATTGCACTACTACGCAAGTTCCACCTGTATCAGGTTGTGAACACAGTGATGCTGTTCCTCACTCCGGCGTTCCTGTCCGGAGTCACATTTGGGATTTACGTGGCTGTCAATGGCAAGATCTCAGTTATCGACGCCTTCACTCTCATTGCCATGGTCAACATCTGCCGCACTGCGTTGATCCAGCTTCCTGTTGCCATTTCCGCTTATTCGCAGGCTCGGATCGCATTCGCTCGAATTGATCTCTACCTTTCCAGCGACGAGTACGGCCAGTTGCAATTGGACAATAGTGCAGCAAATGAATTAGAGACCCCTTCTGCTGTCGGTAGTATATCCGTTCGTGACGCTGACTTCGAGTGGCCATTGTCCAGCAAAACGGCCGATGTCGTGGTGGTCACACCTGCTCTTGAGGGAAACGAAGTATCGACTCATACGTTGAGAGAAGCCTCCGAGCTTGGATTTGGAGTAGACTGCAATGGTCTTAGTTTTAGTCGGAGCTCATCAAGTGTGAGAGCGTCGATGCCTGCTGATGTGAGAGATGAAGAGAGACGGAGCTTTCGGCTCGAAGGTGTGGATCTGGAGATCGACAATGGATCGCTCGTGATGATCATCGGCACTGTGGGTGCTGGCAAGTCGAGTTTGCTGAACGCTCTACTGGGTGAAATGACACTGAAGCGTGGAAGTCTGGACCTCAGAGGTGACGTATCTTACGTTAGCCAGGAGACTTGGATCCGCAATCTGAACGTGCGCGACAACATTCTGTTCGGAGAATCGTTTGATGTCGAGCGATACGAGACCGTACTGGAAGCGTCAGAGCTTACCATGGATCTCCGCGCGCTGCCACACGGGGATCGTACCGAGATTGGCGAGCGCGGTATCAATTTGAGTGGCAGACAGAAGGCCCGTGTGGCCATCGCGCGTGCCATGTACCGTTCACACTATGATGTATTATTACTGGATGACCCGCTGAGTGCTGTGGACTCTCATGTAGCGCACGGCATCTTCGACAAGTGCATTATGGGTCTGGCCAAGTCGAAGACTCGCATCTTGGTGCTGAACAGCCACTACGACCTGATTAATCGTGCTGACAAGGTGCTGGTGATGCGTGACGGTACCATTGCCGGTGACGGCACGTATGAAGAGGTGATGGCGATGTTCCCCGAGCTGGATATGACGCAAACTGCGAGTGGGAATTCTGATGGGGCTGGGTGGCATAGTAACCACGATCCAACGCAGGACAAGCAAGCACCTGTGAAGACCTCCGTGCCAGCGACGGGGGCTCAGATAGAAGAAGGAACCGAAGACAGCCAACAACTCATTCAAGAGGAGGACCGCATCAAGGGCACCGTGGCCAGCGACGTGTACAAGACGTACTTCGACGAGTCGGGAATGAACGGACTCGTCGTTATCTTCCTCATCGTCGTGTTCTACACCGTAAGTCAAGCTGTGCGCGTGGTTGTGACTGGTGGCCGAGTCACTGGCCCAAGAACATGCCTCGCCGTGACGTTGACCCGACGTACTCCGGGGAGGACTTCACGCTGTGGTATGTGGGTCTGATCGTGCTGGCTACGGTGCTGACCCTCGGTCGGGCCTTATATTTGACGGAGACCTGCGTACGCACGTCCAAAAATCTGCATAACGATCTGTTCCGTCGGGTGTTGGGCGCTCCAGTAAACCGCTACTTCGACGTCACACCCGTGGGTCGCGTGCTCAACCGCTTCTCTAATGATCTCGATCAGGTAGACTCGGTACTACCCAAGGATTACCAAATTGTGGCTCAGCACGCTTCAATGGCTTTGGGGTCCTTTGTCGTATCAGCTTTCGTGAGTTACTGGATCGCGGTTGCGTACATCCCTATCATCGTCGTCTTTGTCGTCACGGCCCGGTATTTCAAGAAGACGAGCTGCGAGGTCAAGCGTCTCGAAGGAGTCACTCGTACACCAGTCTACAACCTCTTTAGTGAGACGCTATCCGGGCTGCAAACCATCCGAGCTTTCAAGATGCAGGACACGTTCAAACTTCTGAACAAGAAGGTGGTGGATGAGAACGCCAACATGTACATCACATATTGGTCGGCGGGTCGATGGCTAGCTGCACGTCTTGACATGCTGTCCGTGGTCATCATTGTCATTGTCACAGCGTATCTCGTATCTACCAAAGGCCAGCTGAGTGCCATGACCGCGGGTCTCTCGCTCACATATTCACTCATGCTGACGGCCGTGGTGCAGTGGGTCACTCGAGCTGTTGACCATGTTGACAGCGCCATGACGAGTGTGGAGAGACTGCTGCATTTTCGTAATATTCCACAAGAAGAAGATGCTTCTGACTGCACTCCGCTTAACAGCTCAGTGTGGCCTTTGCAAGGAGCCATCAAGTTCGACAACCTGTGCCTCAAATACCGACCGGAGCTGCCACTGGTGCTACGTGGAGTAAGTATGGACATCCGCGGAGGAGAGAAAGTCGATATCTGCGGACGAACGGGGGCGGGTAAGACTCTTACTAAGAGCTCACTTATGATCGCACTGTTCCGCATCTGCGAGTTCGATAATGGCAGTGTGACCATCGACGGGCCATTGCGAGAGAACTTGAACCCGTTTGGCGAGTACTCAGACACGGAGATCTGGACTGTATTACAGCAGGTCCACATGGCCGATAGTCTGGCCAAGTGGAGTGCTGGGCTAGATTTTGAGGTATCGGAGTGCGGCGACAACTTGTCGGTAGGACAGCGTCAACTCGTGTGTATCGGTCGTGCACTGCTTAAGAACAGCAAGATCGTCGTGCTGGATGAGGGAACCGCCAATGTGGACACGGCCACCGACGCGCTCATCCAGGCCACCATCCGCCAGACGTTCGCCGACAAGACTGTGCTGACCATTGCGCACCGCATCAACACGATCATGCATTGCAATAAGATTGCTGTCATGGACGCAGGCCAGGTGGTTGAGTTCGGGTCGCCGGCGGATCTTTTGGCGCAGTCAGAGTCGATCTTCGCGTCGCTCGCCAAACACTCGGAAGAGAAGTTTCTATGCTAAGTTAGTACCCCAATCATGACTTTCGAGATCAAAGAAGCTGTTGCAAATTCAAAAGGGGGGGATCCACACTCGGTACAATGCAGATGACCATCTTGACAAATGAGACACAGTGCTGGCCAAATATATCTGCAAGAGCATTTGATCGACATGTGAATTGGGCGTCTCATTGAGTTTTGCCAGGTGGACCGATAAAGAAGGTAGATATCTGTAGGTGCACATATAATCTAAGAAAAAGGACTTGTAGCTTTGAAGCAGGTCCATTTTCGGGTGATATGCCATCTTGTTGTCATCGTCAACGACATCGATTTTACTGGTAGCAACATCGACCACAAGGATGGTAGAAGAAATACACTCATGATAGCTCTATCATGGGATACACGCTTGCCACACACTACGCTCATATTTATAGGGCCTTCACCAAGGAGTTTCTGGAATTGGTTTCCTCCGTCTTGTCGAGCTAATTTCGTTGTACAGCAACGCGTGACTTGTCGTGGCTCCAATCGCATGGCCCTGGCTTGTAACCAACGGCCCAACTCCCAGCGTGCGAGCATTTCCGAAAAGGTGCCCGGCCGCCGGGAGAAACGAAGGCAACACCTTCACAAAAAAGCAGGACTTTGAGTTCACGCGACACAACGGGGAACTAGCAGGTAAGCAAGTCCCTAAACGCACCGAAACTCACACGAGGAGAACGCAAACATTCGAGATCAGGCCACACCTGCCTGGTAGCAGGTACTCGGGTGGGGGGCCATGATACACTCGGAGCAACCCAAGGGTGGTCAGTTCAAACTCGTTACCGGTGATCTCATCCGACTTATCGAAACGCAACATGAACATCAAGCGGAACAGCTTGCCAAGTTAGGGGGCATTACGGGCGTCGCAGCATCACTGGGTGTCAATATCACGCAGGGACTCAACAGCAATGATAGCGCAGACTTGAAGCAGCGTGAAGACACTTTCGGGTCCAACTACATTCCACCCCCCAAGGCCAAAGCCCTATTAGAGCTTATGTGGGAAGCCTTCCAGGACATGACCATTATCGTGCTCACCATTTCCGGTATCCTCTCCGTTATCCTAGCAATCACTGTAGGTGACCACCCGGACACGGGCTGGATCGAAGGGGCCTGCATTATTTTCGCGGTGCTGGTGGTGACGATGGTGACGGCAATCAATGATTACCAGAAGGAGGCGCAGTTCCGTGCTCTAAATGCCGTCAAGGAGGACGAGAAGATTAAAGTTATTCGGAACGGGGTGCCAGCCGAGGTGAGCAAGTTCGGACTCGTGGTGGGCGACATCGTTCGTGTGGACCTGGGTGATATCGTGCCGGCCGATGGTGTTGTGTTCGACCAGAAGGAGCTCAAGCTGGACGAGTCTGCGATGACCGGCGAGTCAGACTTGATGGTGAAGAACACGGAGAACCCGTTCCTCCTTTCAGGAACCAAGGTCATGGAGGGTCTGGGTAAGATGCTGGTTGTCTGTGTTGGTGAAAGCTCCCAAGCAGGAATCATCAAGAAGCTTATCCTCGGAAAAGACAAGGAAAAGGAGAAGGCAAAAGAGGCTGAGAAGAAATCAGCACCTTCCGCTGCTGCGACGACACCCCTTCCTAATCCCCCCGCAGGGGCGAATGGCACTGTGGAGCAGAAGGAAGAGTACGACGGCGAAACGCAGTCACCTCTTGAAGCCAAGCTCAACCGATTGACGATTCTCATCGGAAAGCTCGGGACGACTGTAGCGTTGCTTGTGTTCATCATCATGTCGATCCGATTCTCGGTGCATAACTTCACTGGAGACGAGAAAAAGGAGTGGAAGGCCAAATACGTCAGCGACTACCTGCAGTTCTTTATTGTGGCCATCACGGTGCTAGTGGTGGCCATCCCGGAAGGTCTACCGCTCGCAGTGACCATCTCTTTGGCTTATTCGGTGAAGAAGATGCTGATGGACAACAACCTTGTGCGCCACCTGGACGCTTGTGAGACTATGGGTAGTGCTACGACCATCTGCTCGGACAAGACGGGAACGCTAACGACGAACCGCATGACAGTCATGCAAATCTGGATCGGAGGCCAAGAATTCACGTCCGCTTCACAAGCCACGGATGAAATGTCCGAGTCTACACGTGACGTCTTCTGCAACGGAGTGTGCGTCAACTCGACGGCTGAGATTCTCCCATCCAAGGTTCCTGGCGGCCAACCTGAACACACCGGCAACAAGACCGAGTGTGCGTTGCTGCAGTTTGTACGTGACTGCGGCGTCGACTATTCCAGTGTCCGTGCAAACACTGAGATCGGCCACATGCTGACGTTCAGCAGTAAGAAGAAGCGCATGTCTGTAGTGGTCAAACGCTCGGCAAGTACCTGTCGCATCTACACCAAAGGCGCCACCGAAGTTGTCCTGGGTCTCTGCAGTAAGATGAAGCGCCTCGACGGTTCTGTAGCCTCACTCGACGGAAACCAGAAGGAAATCATTGGCACGTCCATTATCGAGAAGTTCGCGTCTCAAGGCTTTCGTACGCTATGTCTGTCCTACCGTGACGTTGAGACGTCGGCGGATGAGATCAACGAATGGTCCGACGATGACGTTGAGAAAGATCTCACGTGCATTGCCATTGTCGGTATAGAAGATCCGGTGCGTAAAGAGGTACCAGACTCGATCAAGCTCTGTCACCGTGCGGGTATCATCGTGCGTATGGTCACTGGTGACAATATTTCCACTGCGCGTTCCATCGCAGGAAAGTGTGGTATCATTTCACCGAACGACGGCTCCCTGGTCATTGAAGGACAGGAGTTCCGTACGCGTGTCCTGGACGGGAACGGGAACATTATCCAGTCGGAATTCGACAAGATCTGGCCGCTGCTGCGTGTGATGGCGCGTTCGTCACCAAAAGACAAGTATACGCTAGTGACAGGTCTGATGCAGTCAAACCTGATGCCCTACGGCCCACAGGTTGTTGCTGTCACCGGCGACGGTACGAACGACGCTCCTGCTCTAAAGAAGGCGAATGTGGGCTTCGCGATGGGTATTAGTGGAACCGCTGTGGCCAAGGACGCCTCCGACATTATCCTTATGGACGACAATTTCACGTCCATCGTGAGCGCCATCAAGTGGGGCAGGAACGTGTACGATTCCATCGCCAAGTTCCTCATGTTTCAGCTCACTGTCAACGTTGTGGCTATCAGCCTGGCATTCTTGGGCGCTGTGATTCTTGAGCAGTCCCCGCTTACTGCTGTGCAGCTACTGTGGGTGAACCTTATCATGGATTCGTTCGCATCGTTGGCTCTAGCCACAGAACCTCCAACGCAGGCTCTACTGGAGCGCCGGCCATACCCGAAGACCAAACCGTTGCTCTCGAAGATCATGACGAAACATATCATCGGCCAGTCCATCTACCAGCTTGTGATACTGCTCATGCTCACGTTCGTAGGGGAGAAGATGTTGGACGTACCTTCTGGTCGCTACCAGGACCTCGATGAGGACCACAAACACGAACCCACCCAGCATATGACTGTCATTTTTAACACCTTTGTGTGGATGCAGCTCTTTAACGAGCTCAACTGCCGCAAGATCCACGACGAGCCCAACGTTCTCGAGGGGTTAATGGGCAATCGCGTGTATATTTACGTGACCATTCTCCAGATTCTCATGCAGTTGGTCATCGTACAGTGTACAGGGTCTTTCTTCAACTGCGAACCGCTGAATGCCGGTCAGTGGGGAATCTCTATTGGCCTGGGCGCAATTTCCATGCCTCTACGTGTGGTTTTGCGGTGCCTATCAGCTAAGTGGTTGCCAGCCTTCTGCCGAGATGCCGACGCCGTGGATGTACAGAGCTTCCCGCCGACTGCCAAGGCCGTCCGTAAAGGTAGCTCCCAGAAGGCGATCATGCTGCAGTAGAGTCAGGGAGTGCGAGTGGGGTATGCTAAGAAGGAGAATAAGAGGTCAGCTTTATATTTCGAAACTTGCTCGTAATATAATAACATGGAAGTTAGAAAAGAGACGATAAGTTGGCCTCACTAAATACTACTACATGTACGAAGTGTAGTACAGACAACGACGGTGAAATCCGCCCGGTGTCTGAACACTATCCTTCATATAAAATAAAAAAATTACGCGCGACAAGAATACCCGCCCAGTTATTTGATTAGTTGAAAGTGGTAGTTTCAGCTCAAAATCTGAACACAAAGTGCAAAAACGATTCCAAAAGGTACAGAACCGATGCAGGAATCAACACATCCTGGGTTGATTGTACAAAAACGCTCAAATACGGCATACGGATTGGCTGAAACTGGTTTCATTAGCATGATTGGACTCGGGCGTGTTTCAAAGGTATGGCGGATTTCACCGTCGTTGTCTGTATTAGTGTATACCAACATGCCTTTGCTAGACGCACCTCGTTCGCAATTCGAGATATGGTTGGGACTGAGGCTGTGCCATATGATCGTTGTCTACTAGTGAAGGTGAACGGCGAGCGAGGTCACAACTTGTGATGTTGTGAGTATTATATCCTAGTGCCATAATACATGTTCATGCCACTGGTGGAGGCTAAAAGAACCCAGGCTGTGTGTTTTATTCAGTATTATGAGAGATAAATTGGCACATTCTAGTACTATCCAATTAGCAATCGCCAGATTATGATTACCCTAGGGTACTCTGGCTAGTTATTTTCCAGATCCTGGTACTCTATGGGTTGTTTCTTCTCGCTAATGTTGAAATGCGGCTTGCCATTCAACAGAACAGAACGGAAGCGCACAGGCAAGTAGGTGCTGCTAAACCTGAAACTGTCTAGAAATTAGCAGCAGTGCTCCCGCAAACCGAAGTGCTCATTTGAGAAGCACGTTGGCCAGCAACTTCTTCGTCGGTTCTTCCAGTGCAGAGCACAACGTACTGGTTTCGCTAAAGCAACGGCTATCGATATTATTTTGATTAGTCAATAGTCGCACTTCTTGATCGTATGGCCGATACTTCGCACTTGGGGAAGAAAATGAAAAGTAAGATTAAGTTAGTTAATGCTGCTGCTTCTCTGAGGTTCGCTGATCCTTTAAGCGCGCTGTATCAGCTTCTCAAGCTGAGCCTCGTCGCTTCTCCTTCACTATACTCCCAACAGCACTCCTGCGCTTATGTTTGATACGCAGAGTCTCGTAGCAGTTCGCTTTCGTCGCACGTCGGCCTTCATTACCTTCCAACTGCCACATCGACGATATGCATTCCAACACGCCTCTCTCAAAGTGCAAGCTTTGACATCCAGGATGCACTTCGTCGCGTGTCCTTCAGTTTGTGGCCAATCCAATACCAACGTCCATCAATAGTGTCTTCAATCGTTGCTTGTCCAGTGGCTTGGTAAACGCATCAGCAGGATTGTCGTTGCCATTCACCTTGTGCAACGCAATCGCTCCTTTCTGCACTTGTTCCCTCACAAAGTGCCATCTCAGCTCAATGTGTCTGGTGCGTCGACTGTAGGTAGGATTGGTAGCCAAAATGTGAGCTGCTTGGTTGTTGATACCAAGCCTGAGCTCCACTTTCTTCTTCGATATTATTTCTTGCAGTATGTTGCTTGACGCCATAGCTTCCATAGTTGCTTCACAGGATGCAACATATTCAGCTTCCGCCGTAGATAAAGCAACAATTGATTGACGTTGAGACATCCAAGAAACAGCACCACCCGCCAGTGTGAATACGAATCCCGTCGTACTCTTGCGTGATTCCGGGTCGTTAGCCCAATCGCTGTCGCAAAATCCTTCAAATACCACTCTGCTTGGTATCTCTTCTTGACGTGATCTCTCGTACGTGATTCCATGCTCCACAGTACCAGCAAGGTATCTCAATACCCGCTTCAAGGCTCCAACATGTTTCGCGGATGGTTTTCCTACGAAACGACTCAGTTGACCAACTGCATACGCTAAATCAGGTCGAGTCCCTGTAGCCAAGTACATGAGCATTCCTATCGCTTTACGATACTCGAAGCTTGTATCAGTCTCGTCATTCTCGTTCAACGGTACTAGTCGAGCGTTAGTTTCCATTGGGTTGCCCACTGCATGAGCATTTTCGTACCGAAAAGTCTCCAAAATCTCTCGTGCATACTTGCTCTGACGGATAGTGATATTCTCAGCGGTTTGCTCCACTTCAATACCCAAATATTCCGTCAACAAGCCTTGATCCTTGATCCCGTACGCTTCATCGAGCTCCTTGAACAAGTTCTTCTTCTTTGACTCGTCATTAGTAGCCACCATAATGTCATCCACGTAAATCAAGACCAACATAATGGTGTCATCGTCAAAGCAGTAATGTGGTGAAGTGCTTTCTCAGAAATAAGAGAATGGTCCTGACGCGGGGTCACTATCCCGAATCAGTGACAATTTCAAGTGATTATAGAGGATTTGGGTTGTTTGGCACGGGTGCAAGTTGCCTGTGGTGGATTAGCCATGGCGAGCAGCACCCCGTATGGAATGACGATGGATCTGATATGAGCGATGTACGAGAAGGCAAGATCCACCAAGACTTACCTCCGATCCACCCTTACCTGGATTCACTAAGATGGATATGGGATATACTATACAAGAGTGGATCGAGTGTGGATCCTATGAAGGAAGGATGGTCGGTGCTCTCTGACGGTGGATCTAGTAGCCACGGCTAATGAAGAGTCAAGATCCACCGCGAGGTACCCCGGATCCCATACTTCCGAGTTCGTATCCAAGGAGGGAGGATCCCGCCTGGAGGGACCTGGATCCAGGGTATAGGGATGAGGGATACAGTGGATCTCGAACTTTCGTGGGACAACGGAGATCACAGACGGTTGCGAGATGATGTTGGATGATTGGAGAGCTCGGATCCACGGCGAGTGTACCATTACAGTGAGGTGGATCCAAGCGACCTGGATCCGGATGAGTGTACCCATAATAGGGTGACCATGATGATTACGTCATATATCCGGTGGATCTGAAGATAACACAGCTGGGATGATGGGTCAAGGGAAGAAGGGACATGCAGCCGAGCCTGGTAAGGGATTTAGCAGATGAAAGACATAGAAGGTAGAAACCCAGGCAGGTATAGGCTTAAATATCAATACAGACTCCAATTTGCACAGTGACACGCAAGTGCCTTCCTGCCCTCAAGAACCGGAACTACATTGGCCGTACGAGCTCCGAGAAGGTTGGGAATTGCGAATCTAGTGTTGGTAGTGATAACTGGATAATACATTGGCCAGATCCTACAACCTAGTGAGCTTTTCCTTTACTTGTGCAGATCCGACAGGTTAACCGAATTTACTACTTGGTCGGTTACACCCTAGGGGCTCTCAACTTTCAAGATCCCGTCACAGGAGGCGGCAAGTACGACTTAAAGGACAACACAAAGGCAAGGGAACACACCCGCAAGGCAACCCTACGGCCAGATCCACGATCTAGGGCCCGGATCCATAAGCTCGAATATTCGCTTAGGATTCGGAACCATCCACGGACGCAGAGTGAAGATTTTCCACTGCTGCTCCACCCCATCCCCACGTCTCGCCAAGACACTCAAGCTTCACCACTTGAACTCTTCGGAAGTTACCGAGAGAGCAGATCCTCCCGCCCCGACGGGTACACAAGGTGAGGAAAGTTCAGCAGAACACGGATCATCGGGGGACCCCCTCCGTTAGTCGGTGTCTGGGCGCAGTTGGTAAGTTGGATCTGGCAATCTCGCAGATTTTGCTGATCCCGCTACACCACAATGGTGCGCGTGCCCGGATCTTTTGGTGACTCGGGATTTCACCGTGAGTCCCAAGAAGATGCTCAAGTGAAGATTGAGCCAGGGGAAGAGGCGTCGTCGGAGGTCGGATCGACGAAGACGCTGCTGAATGAAACAAGATCCGCGGATCGATGGAGTTTTGGGAGGAACTCTGTCGACGGAAGAGAGGTGGATCCGGATCCGGATCTAGAAGAGAAACCTCTCTATCCTCCCCAGGTCCCCTCGGGGACCCCTGCGGATCTTGACGCAAGTCAAGATCCGCTAACAAAACAAGGGAAAGTGAAGGCGAAACGGTATGCATTTGCAGATGCACCGGTTAAGCCAACACCGTACCTAAACCCAAGCCCGCTAGTCGAAGAAACAAGAAAGAAGACGAAAACGAGTAAGACTACGCGGAAGAAGATGCAAGCTCCAGAGTCGGAAGAAGACCAAGCTGGATCCAGGTCAAGCTGGTCCGACAAGGATCTCGAGTTTGTGTATCGCCACCAAGCTTTACGCGACTTCCTGCATCAAGATCCTGTCATGCAGATCCTGAATCCACGACAGATCGAAGATCCAAGGGAACCGGTGAGAGCACCAACGAAAACGGCGAACAAGTTGGTGGCAGTCAAAGATCTATTACGTTTGCTTACGGAGTCAGGCATCGTAGCTGGTGTGTTCGACGCAGAGGATATCTTCGAGCTAGACCTGGATCTCATAGTATCCGCGACGCGGGACCTCTTTGCCAGAGTTAAGTCCATCACCGGAGAAAGGTCGCGTACTATGGATCCAGTGTCGTCGCCGAGGATCAGCCAAGCTGCGTCCTCAAACTACGAATCCGCCGCTGAGGATGAGTCAGACACGTCGTCCGAACCACGACGCATGACTTTAGGACCCTCCGGGGCATCCATGCTGGAAGCGCGGGCGAGGATCCGAGGACAGGAAGCCCCTGTGAACGTGAAAGCTCGGGATCCAGTACGCCCTACGCGTGATTTGACACAATCCAGCCAGGATCGAGCCAGATCCGGCAAGAAGCCAGTGGGATTATCGTCAGATCAGGCTCGAGGTAATCGCCTCACGGATCCAGTCCCGCCAGTGGACCAGACGGCCACAGGCTCTTCCGACACTTCCTCGGGCACCCTGCAGCGGCACTTTGAAGCTGCGATGAATCGCTTCCTGGCCGAACAGGGTAT